AGGCATCTCATACTCCGCATGTCCAACACAGAACTCATTCTCTTTCTCCCCAAACCTCCACCTCTTTCAAACTTCTCTTCATGAGTACCCCAATCCTTGTAATTACCCAGGTTCAAAGACTCAGTGTCATCCTTTGCTCCTCACTCTCACTCATGCCTCCTATCCAGTTTGTTGTGAAACATTGTTTCTGTCTCAGCCTCTCTCTCATGGGCCCACTGTACAAAGCTACTGCTCTCGCTTAGGTCCACATTGCCTTTCACCTAGGCTATTGGAGTAGATTGCTATTAGTTACTTTGCCTTAGGGTTTCCCTTGGTCCAATCTAACTGCCTTGTAGCATCAGTGATTTTCTGGCTAGCATAGTTCTGGCCACGTCCCTCTTACCTCTCAAACTCCAATGCCTCTCTAATCCTGTAGGATCAAATAAAAATGTTGGCTTGGCATTTTGTAACCTAACTTTACCCTGCTTTTTCAGCCTTCTTATATATTGAAGCTCTCCATGAACTCCAGCCTTACTGACTAAATACTATTGCTCACACAGGACATTCCATCTCCTGTCTCTGTATGTAACATGTGCACTGGATGTACCCCATGCCTGGTGTGCTGCGTCTCCTTATTCCTGCCTCTTAGCATCACTGTCTTCCTTTGATACAGCTTAAGCTCCAACTTCTGCAGGAAGTCTGTCTTAGTCCCCCTAGTTGGAAGTGCCTTCTCCAAGTTTTTCTTGTGTTTGCTTTTTATGTGTTTTGAGTATGCCTTTGTATGTATGTGGGCAGTTAGATGATGCAGTGGATAGAGCGCTGGGCCTGGAGTCAGAAAGACTCGTTTTCCTGAGTTCAAATATGGCCTCAGACATTTACTAGCTGTATTACCCTGAGCAAGTCACTTAACCCTGTTTATTTCACTTTCCTAATCTCTAAAACAAGCTGGAGAAGGAAATGGCAAACTACTCCACAGTGAGTCATGAAAAGTCAGACACGACTGAGAATGATTAAACAACACTTATACGTATGTGTTGTGTTCCTGTTGGGGATGTCAACTCCTTGAAGGGTAGAGACTATTTTGCTTTTGTCCTCATAGCCCCAGCATATAATAGGTGCTTAATAAATGCTTCCTTGATTCCCATTAGGATATAGGTACCCTTCAAGATGTAAATATCAGTATATGGGGAAAAGGAGGAAAAGATGGTTTGAGAGCCTTATGGCTACGTGAGGTGTTTCAGAAATAGGTCAAAGAGAAAGAAAAGGACAATAAATATTGATGAAATAGCACCCAATCGCAGCTTAAGGGAAAAATTATACCTTTTTTTTTTTGAAAAGTTAATGGACCATCATTTTTTCCTTAATAACAGGAATATAAAACCTGTGTCACTGTATAGGTTATTTCTCCCATCCTTTCCTCCTCTTAAGTTAAATGTTTCCCTGAGGAAGAAGTACATATTGCTCACTTCTAAACAAGTAGGGAAGTGGAAGGACAGAGGCTGGAAAGCTGGATCCTTTTTTTTTTTAGAATATTATCTTACAGCCATAGGGAAAGATCCTCTGTTCTGTGTTGGCAGCTATGGTTTTTACAGGGCTTTGTCTGTGGCTATAAGGGAATAGGTAGCTCTCATTTTTAAAATGAGCAAGTATCAATTTAATTTTCAAATTATTTGGAAAAACTTGAGAATTCTTAATCCTTTGAAAGCATATAATGCCCAAATAGTAGGTAGTATTATTATTTCATAGACAGGAAACTTTGATTTCCTAGGTTTGCTAATTTTTGGAATTGGCTTGTTTACCTTTCTGAAATGAGTTTGTTTTCAGAAATTACTTGACTGCCAGAATGAGTGTACTTGATTATGGCTCTCCTTCTGCCTCCTTCCTCTTCATTAAGGCACAGAATGTCAAGGATGGAGTTTTAAATCCTTTTGTGTGGACTGACAGGTTTTTTGAGCGTGAGCTTTTTCAAGCTCTTCCTCTCAAGGTCGGAACAGTTATTGTTAGTGACTTCAAAAGCTAGCATGTCAAAATGAAATCTCATTTGATAAGATGTACAATGTATTTTAAGCTGTGTTCTTTTAAAGGAATAGAATCTGTGGAATCAGAACTAGAGGTGAGAGTTCTTGTTGGGACTCATGCTGAGGCCACGTAAACAGTCCCCGACCGATGGGTGTACTCACTGTGCTTCTGAATTCTGGTAACTTTGGACAAGGCATTTCATCCTTCTATTCCTAATCCATGAACTGAAAATCATAACTCTTGCTACTCTCTTTGAAAGATAGCTATGAATTACATAGAGATAATACTTTATATTCAGGGAGCAGTAGTTATGTATGGCTCCTAATAGTTGGAATGTCTGCTTACAAAGTTTCTCCTTTAATAAAAGATGTCCCTGAGGGACTGAAATAGTATGTTTAAACAAGAACAACCAAAAAACTCATGGTATCTGGGTGGGGAGACCGTTTTGGTGAGGGCCCCTTCCATTACCTTTTCAATCGTACTGTGAAGAGAGTCTCTTATTCTGCTGGCCTGTGATCACATTTCTCATTACAATGACAGCCCCAGCCCTGAAGGGACAAAAGTTGATATTAGGGAGGAGAGGGGCATAATTTGCCCAGGGAATTACTCAGCTGCCTCTGGCTCCTGTAAAAAGTAAGGAATCCATTAGTCAGAAGTTTGAGCATGGAGTCATAATGTTAGGATTTCTTTAGTACTAAAGCTAAACTGTAGGTAGGCCCTTCTGTTTTTTAACCAAGAAGCGCTTCCGTCATTCCTAGCTGAATTAGGAACGTGGGAGGTGCTGACCTTGGGAGTTTAGGTAGGGGGAGTGGAGATGAGAGAGATAAAGTTTTAATCTGCTCTTCCTTCTTTTAGTAGCCTCCTTCAACCTTGCTTCCCACCACTATTTCTGCCCCAAGATCTATTCCTTTCTCAAGACTTCACTTGTCTCACTCTGTAAAATGGGTAGGGAGGAATAGAACCCTTTCCTAATTCCCAGGCCAGGCACAAGTAGAGACAGGTGCCTGGCTAGGTTGTTTCACTTATTTTGGGTTCATATTCCCTTGGCCACTTGTCTAGCATCTCATATATTCACTGGGGAAGATTATTTTCATCTACATTCAGCACAGGCTCTAGTGCTCATCCTTCTCAACCATTTTATTAGAATCTCTGTGACCCTGATTGAGGTTGTACCTGGCAGAGAAGACTTTTGGGGAAAACCTTGACTTATTTGTAGAAAAAACTGACTGGCTAACTTTTTCCTTGTTCCATCTTTTACTCCTTTTTCTTTTTTTTATTTTTTCTGCTAGGCAATGGGATTAAGTGACTTGCCCAGGGTCACACGGCTAGTAAGTATCAAGTATCTGAGGCCGGATTTGAACTTAGGTCCTCCTGACTCCAAGGCCAGTGCTATCCACTGCACCACCTAGCTGCCCCCGTTTTTTACTCCTTTTTCAAAGGCATACTTTCCTCCTGTAAGATAGGTTTTTATATTGCACATCTCATACAGATTTCTAAATCAATATCCTATTTTAAACACAACTGAAGTAGATATTTGGAACCTTTTAATCTGGAAATTAATAAAATGGAGACACAAGTTATATATTAAAGGGCAGCAAGGCAAGTACTGGGCCCAACATCTGGAATTAGAAGGCCTGAGTTTAAACCCCACTTCTGACATGTAACCTTGGGCAAAGCAGGCACTAAATCTCCCCAGACCTCAGGTTCCTCATCTATAAATCAAGAACATTGAACTAGATGGCCTTGACATCTCTTCCAGCTGAAGATCCATGATCCTTTCTTTAATCAGGCAAAAAAGATTGGTCAATGAAAAATCTGTTCAGGAAGAATATTGGATTCTTTAGTGTTTCATTCTATGAAACAATATAGATTTGGCATGGATTACTTCTTTTGTCTCTACTCTCCTCTTCCTGACTCTTTCAACAACCTAGGAGAGTGAATAGAGCAGCCACTAATGTGTTTACTGGCTGACTAAAAGAACCTCCTGATATTCTCAAGGATGGTGCTTCTTTTCCCCCCCCTTTTTTTTCTTTATTAATTTATTTATTTTTACTTTTCAACATTTACTTCCACAAGATTTTGAGTTCCAAATTTTCTCCTCATCTAGTCCCTGCCCCCACCCCAAGACAGTGTGCGTTCTGAATACCCCTTCCCCTAATCTGCCTTCCCTTCTATCTTCCCCCACAGTTCTCTTATCCACTTCCCCTTCTATTTTCCTGTATGGCAGGACAGATTTCTATACCCCATTGCCTGTATATCTTATTAGGACAGCGCTTTTTAAACTATGGGGTCCTGAGTGGAAAAAGTTTAAGAAGCTTTGCTCTAGGAATACGGGCAGAATTGTACTTAACAATTAAGATAGCTATCCATTTTTTCTTAGCTCAGTAGATATTCCATAACTTCATATCAAGTAGCTTACAAAGACAGGAAATCTTTCCCAATATCTAACTTCTTAGTGATTTTTTAACTAGGGGAAATTTTAGGTTTTAAGCACCTTCTGCTTAAAAAGACACCCTTAGGGGAAGTCAGGAACAGCAGGTGGATACCATTGCGTGTTATGTAAAACATATTAAAATATCTCAAGAGAGGAAGGATTCTCATAAACACATTATAAAGTTGCTCAATGGAGGATTTATGGAAAGATGGCTAAGAATTGCATAGGAGGAAAAGTCCTAGTTAGGTTTATAGTCTTCATGGATTAAGGGTGTGCCTACACTTGTCATATCATGGGTCCCATGAAGTTTCAGAATATCAGTACTTTAGAGTTCTCATTTCCCTTTACATTTATGTTTCTATTACATTTTAGGTTTCTTTAAGTTCTGTGGTGAGGGAAATGTTACAAATTTGGTTTTGTTGATTAAAAAAAACTTTGAAACTATTGTGCTTGAACTTAACTTTTTTTGGTGTTGATTGCTGGCTAAAATGTGAATTCAATGAGAGAAAGACAAAATTTCTGACTTTGGTTACCATGATTTTTCTCTGTTTTATTATTTGTTGGCCAGGACTTTGTCTCATTGTATCAGGACTTTGAAAACTTCTACACAAGGAACCTCTACATGCGAATTCGAGACAACTGGAACCGACCAATCTGTAGTGTGCCTGGAGCCAAGGTGGACATCATGGAAAGACATTCCCATGATTATAATTGGTCATTCAAGTGAGTCTGTATTACAGATAATTTTCCAAATGATAACTCTATAAGTGAAAAACAAAATAGACTTAATTTTGGGTATGCTTGATAATGAATTGAATGAAAGTTTTTTTGGAGGTAAGCTTAATTCCCACCATAAACCTACAGGTTTCATTGAAAAAATAGAATAAAAGCTGTTGAGTTTTTAAAGTTCTTTTCTGTCATTTTACATTTCTGTTACATTTAACTTTGTTGGATTTAAAGTCCTAGCCAACGATATAACATATATGTTGTGTTGCTTTGAAGTCATTAAATTTGGCCTTCAATCAACACCAGCCTTATGCTCCTTATTACAATCAAATGTCTTTCTTTTTAACTACTTAAAGGTTTATAACAAGATTGCATGGAAATGTTACCCCAAAAAAGAAAAATGTCTGAAAAATGGAATTCATAGAGTAATTTAACTTAAGTGCTTTAAAGTTTGCATATAGTATGGAAAATTTTCAAATTATTTGCAGACTATGGGCTATAGGTTTTTTCTTTTTCATGTGTCTTAACATCTGACGAGCAAAAGCTGTCAGAATCATGGAATCTTAGAGTTGGAAAGGACTTCACAAGTTTAGTTCACTCCACATGTAACATTAGTGAAAAGTGGTCATACAACTGTTGCTTGAAAGGGATAGAAGATTCATTACCAACTGAGGGAAGCAGGTCCATTTTAAAACACCTCTAATAGTTAATGTGTTTTTCCTCATATGGATCTAAATCTTCCTCTATGCAACTTCTATCCACTCTTCCCAATTCTCTTCGCTGGTGCCAAGTAGATCAAATCTGATCTCTTTTCCATACAACATCTCCATTACTTGAGCTGTGATAGCTACTTGTCCAAGCTAGACATGCCCAGTTCTAAATTTTTCCCTTGGTTAACTAGTTCCTAAAAGTATTTAAACAGCTTTTGCTTTATGTTATCCACAGTTGCAATTGATCAGATACATAGTAGGATTTAGATTCAAAAGGAGTATTCCTTTTAAAAGTGTAAGACTAGGTTTTGTTTATTTACTATGGTCACTAGCAGTTTTTTAATACCACTAATATATTTCATTACTAAATTTTTGTTTTGACTTATGGGTTTCATTGCCCATGTGCTATTAAAACACAGGTACACAGGGAATATAATTAAAGATGTTATCAACATGGGTTCCTACAACTATCTTGGATTTGCAAAGAACACTGGGACGTGCAAAGAAGCAGCAGCCAGAGTCCTGGAGGAGTACGGAGCTGGAGTATGTAGCAGTAGGCAGGAGATTGGTAAGCTTAGCCCCAGGCTTACATTTGCAAAACTGAAGTTTCTGAAATTTATATTGGTTAATGAACTGATTATCAAAATTATGGCTATAAACTTCACATAAGCAAAACATTAAAACTGAATATTTTATCATTTGAATTGAAGCTATTGTTGACATTAGATAATGACAGGTAGCATATGATGGAACACTGGATTTGGAGTCAAAGGGCCTGAGGTAATGGTAGTTGCCCGAGAAATCATTCCACAGGCTTTTTTTTATTAAGTGTCTGTTATGTACTGGGCTCTGCAAAATAATATTAATATTTCTTTGTTTTTCTTCATGACATTGGGTAAATCATTTAATGCCTTTGGAACTCATTTGCATCCTTTGTGAAATAAAGAAATTGGACTAAATGATCTCTAAGATCATAAGAAGTCATACGAAATAAACAAAATCTTGATTATGAAATTTAGCAGGCTTAGTATTGATTTTTTTCCCTCCATTCTAAGTGTCTATACTAATTGATGTTAACTAGTTGCTTGAATATAAGAAAGCTCCACAATGATAGAAAAGATAGCTTTGTACAAAGATGGACTTTTTAGAGAACAAATTTAGTTTTTATTTCAGAGACAGAATAAAAGAAAAATGCGTCTGCTCTTAAAGAATTGGTTGTCATGAATGGTATAGGATAGCTTTATCCTTCTTCGGTTTTATAGTATTATTGAGCTTACAAAAAATATGTTTGGACTACAAAGTTTACATTGATATCACCAGTATTGACTAGTGCCACTGCTGTATCTCTTTACTCCTTGTAACATTCAGCCTCGTATGGCTGTTTTGGTTAATAGTACAAGTTTTGACAACATCTGTTTTGCATTTTAAAATGTTTTGTTATTATATTCTACAGAATCATATTAGTCCTGTTAATGGTAGTTGCAAACTTCACACTCATAATTGTGTAAACAGACAGTCATCTAGAGAAAACATTCAATTCCTTCACTAAAGTAGATTCCAGTGAGAAGCAAGCTGAATCAAGAGGTCAGACCTAGCATATTTCTCTTAGACCTTGGATGGAGGGAGGTGCCCTAAAGATCCTTGGGTTTTCTGGCTGGTGTTGTTAAAACAGAAAGATGTTATATTATGTTCAGCTCAAGACTTTATGTGTCCTTATCATGTGTATAAGGAGCATTATTTAGTAGCCACATACAGCAAATGTGCTTCCTAGGTTATTCAGTAAGCAATTAACTGCTGATTGTGTGTCTACACAATACTAATTTGTGTTTTGAATTGTGAATATTTAAGTGGTATGCATTTTAAAATAAGTTAACATTATACATAACTCTCACTCCTTTTAAATTCCTGGTCCTCATAGTTATACCTTACTTAGATTCAAACTAGAAATGATTCTTAAATTTGGAAAGTTTGAATTTTTGAAACTAGTATTCATTCTGTATATAGGAAATCTGGATAAGCATGAAGAGCTAGAGAAGTTAGTGGCCAGGTTTTTGGGAGTGGAAGCAGCCATGGCATATGGAATGGGTTTTGCAACCAACTCAATGAATATCCCTGCTATTGTTGGCAAGGTAAGACAATAACTCATTTGTTATAGACTATCTTCCTTTCTTGCAGAAAAAGTTTATTTCAGTCCTTGACTTTTAACAAAAAATAATTTAAGGGGACTTTTCACTGTATGTAGAAGATTCTTGACAAAAGTCATTCTCTTGTCTTCATCATTGCATCGAGATGACGTGGGGCTTTGCTACATCAGCAAGCTCTAGCAAGTATTATCAGGGAGGGTCATATGTATGTGTATGGACTTTTTGACAGAGTACATGTCTGCTGTACTTGGACTAACCTAACTAATTATGGAGTTTGTTACCAGAATGTTGCTTACCCTTTAAATTTTTTTTAACCAGGTCATACATGAGATGGACAAAAATACAAAATGAACATTGGTCCAATGCAGTTTGTTATAAAAAGGGGGCTAATGGGGCTTAGTTTACAAGCATTAATTTAAATGTGTATATTAATATATTCTTTGTCCAGTGACTTAGTTGACATGGAGGAATTAAACCACATCTATATTGACATACTTACTGTAAATGAAACCAGAAGACATAACGACCTTGCAAATAAATGAAGGGATGGCTTGTTGTTTTCCTTAAAGAGATGAATATAGAGGCAGCATTGTTTAGTGGATAGAGCCTAGGATTTGAAATCAGGAAGACCAAACTTTAATTCTACCTTCAGACACTTAGTAGCTGTGTGATCCCAAGCAAAGTCATTTAACCTCTCTGTGCCATCATTTCCTCCTCTATCAAATGAAAGATTTGGACTTGCTAGCCTCAGAGATCCTTTCCTGAGCTAAATCTGTGATCCTATGAGTCTGTGATTAAAGGAGCTGGCTGAGTGGTGCCCAACAAAAAAACATAAGTTTATGGGGTACTTGATCTCATTGCTCACAAGGAGCACTACTGTTGTGCACAACTAATTCAGCTCGCCACTAGAGCCGGGATCCTATACTAACTTTGAAGGGATAAGGCCACCTTAACCTTCTATCTCGAATGTGCGTTGATGAGGCGGGAGACAAGATGGAAGCAACTCTATTTATTTTTAGCAAAGCACTTACTTATATAGTAAAATGACAGTAACTCTTTCTCAAGTTACAATGACATGTAGCCCATGCTGTGCTGAGGACAGTGCATGCGTGCACTTATCTGACTCCAATCCCAGAATAGACTGCTAATGACCATACAATAACTAGGGGAGTTAAAGATTGTTAAAGATCCATATAATGGAACACCAACCAGGCGACCTTTGCTCAAAGATCAGCACCCGAGAGGGCCCCTCCACCCATCAGTGAGACCTCTTGAACAGCCTGTGGCTCTCTATATCCTTATAGATCCCTAGCAGTTCCCCCTTTTTTTTTTGTTGGAGACGTAGCATATGAAGCTCAGTCCCAAAGTCCTTTATCTGATTAGCTATGCACCTGAGCAAACATGGTCCAAAACACAGCATGGCCAGCAATAGCAAACATAGTGGCAACAAAGAAGACAATAGAGCCATAAGCCAATGTCCAAGCTTATCAAAAGGGTTATGGAGTTTATCTAGCCAATCAAGTATATGTTGGGCAGTTTTATCTGGCATCAAATCTTTATCAGCTGCCCTTGCAATATCTTTAGTAATTTCATATAAGTCATCAATATCCACTGCAGTAGTAGAATTGCCAAACAGCCCATTTAGATGCCTACATAGTCTTTGCCAATCCCATTGGGATTTACTGTATTTAACATTGGTAAGGCAAATGAATTCATACCTATAATCACATTTCAAATGTGTTCTATATTCTAAAATATCCCATTCATCACCTATTTCAATAATGGTTTCCTTCATTTCCTCAAGCATATGGTAAAATTCATCATCTATCCTTTTTTGTGTTTGAAAACCTTTAGGTACATTGTGAGCTAATTGATCCCCATAAAATCAGCTTGAACCATTTCATTTCTTGCGATAGATATAGATTGAGATAAAGATACAGAAGCAGTTATGATAGCTATAAGTGAAACAATTCCTAATACTACACATGAAGTACATCTCTTTTTCCTAGCAACTGCTAATTGATTACTTTGGTCTGTTATTCCAAAAATATGATCAGAACGTGATTCATACCAATCTTTGCTTTTCACAGGCACCAAGGCAAACTTTTGCTGTGTAATAACAAAATAATTTGGTCTCTAATCTTGGTTCCTATACATTCAGACATCCTGTAATTAATACAAGTGACATTATATTCCCCTGAATCCATGGCCATTATATTAACATTCTGTGCTCTTCCCCACATAAATGCATGATTACCAGTCAAACAAGCTCGCATTGTCATATTATCACGGATGGTCCCTTGCAAATTCGTGATGTTTATGGGGCCTGAGGCTGCCCACGCTTTCCACAACTGATTTTCAACCTCTCTGTCATGAAGGGAAACCCACTGAGGAAATGGAAACCCACCAAAAGCCTAAGTATGGTTGTTTTTCTCCCTAGTATAATTGTGCCAGGATTGTAACATAAAATTCTTTTGTAACACAACACAATAACGTTCTGAAGTATGATAAGATAACCAAGGAGGATACCCTAAGCTCTTGCTAATCGGTGTCACATGATAGCATGGCTTTGAATTACTTGGACGTCTGATAGGTGTGTCATTAACACACTGTGACCCCAAGATGCCCGTGTAAGTAACCTTATAAAATTGAAAAAAGACAACAGTATAAGGAGGGGGTGCTGTGTTATTAAACACATACCCGTCAAAACGGGTGGTGACATTAAATAATTGTAAACAAGTAGAGTTTTTTGGTGTCATTGCCTTTTGTAACACAAATAGGCGGCACCAAAGCCACAGCAGTAAAGTTCATTTTTACAGTGTGTTGAGACCGGTTCTTAGGTGATATGAAATGAAATTCCTTGCCAAAACCTGTGGAGGCATTTCCTTGCAGAATGACCTCAGGTATTGTCTCTCCCCACGTAACTAGTCTGGGCCATGGTGGTTTTGTCACGAAGGCCCATCGTGTTGTATTTCCTGTCTCTGCTGCTGCTGTATTCTGCATCCCTACTGATGATAACGACAAGAGGCACAGCTTGGTTAAAAGTTCTTGTAATGCCTTCTTCTTATTCTTTCGGCTCTTTCAATTTCCTGGCTGGCCTGTGTTTTCTGCTTGCCTTGTCCCTTCTGAATGGATAATGCGGACATCCTTCGTTCTGACCCAGAGTTCTCTATCACCTGTGAAAATAAGAACAAACCCTTGCCCCCAGGTTAGCACTTGCCCTGGACCCTGCCAGACACCGTCAATGTCTCTCCACATAACTTTCATATTATGTTTAGGAGAAAGGAATATGTTTGATTTTAGTGGTGGCACTAGTACTGTTGTCATTTCCTGCCAGATATTTTGTTGCAGGGGAGAGGTTACAACTATCGAATTTTAAACAATTTATAGTGTAGAGTGTGGTGTTCAATTGTTGCCAAGGGGATCCCTTAGCTCCCCATATTTGTTTTTTGGAGCACCATTTTCAAGGTATGATTGGCACGTTCAACTATGGCCTGACCATGAGGATTATAAGGAAGGCCAGTAGTGTGACTAATAGAGAACTCAGTACAAAACTTTTTAAAACCCTGCGAAATATATGCAGGACCATTATCAGTCTTTAAGCATTGAGGTGGGCCAGCGAAAGAAAAACAATGAAGCAAATGATTAATAACATAGCGGACAGCCTCACCCGCTTGAGCAGTAGCAAAAATAAAGCCTGAATAAGTATCAATAGAAACATGAACATATTTTTGTCTTCCAAAAGGAGAATAATGAGTAACATCCATTTGCCATAAGGTGTTAGGTGTAAGTCCCTTGGGGTTATGGACATCAACGTGGAAAGGGGGTTGAAAAGGCACACAAGTAGTAGCACAGCGCTTAACAATTTCACGTGCTTGTGATTTTGTTATGCCATATAAACTTGCCTTGGTGAAAAAACCAGTTAGTAGAAATCATTTATATAAAGTTACAATTTCTCAGTAAGCTAAATGAATTGTTTAGGAAATCAATAAGATAAACAAATTCTTCTCTCAGAGCAGACGACCTTGACACAGTTGGTAGGAGCTTTTGGCAAGCTTACAAAGTTAAGGGAATTGTCTTGTGCCCCTCCTTTTCACTCAGAAGTAATTAAGGAATTCTAGGTCTTGGCTTTAAAACAGTAACTTCAAATAACTTAGTCAACAATTTTGGTAATTTTCATGAGTGATAGTTAAATTATTTTAGCTCTAAGCTGTTCTTTTAATCATAGGTAAAGGTAGAAATACCTGATTTTCTAAATGATAGTTATAAAACATCATAGAACAAGATTAACCGGACTTGATAAAATAATTTAGCTGGATTTACACAGTTATCTCACTACCTTTCAGTTTCTTTTAGTTCACATTTTAATAATATCTAAATTATTAAAAATTGCTTGATACAACACATACAAGTGTACCAATTTGTAATGAGACTAAATTTTTAAAACTTGAAATATGCATATTACTAATGTGAATGAACTAAATTGTCTTTAGATTGTGTTCCGATACTTAAAAACTTTTCTTTTTGATTTGAAGAGGAAAACTACTCCTTCTCCTTCTTTTCTCCCCTACCCCAATCTGGCCAGGGTTGGAATTCGAGAGAAAGGAAGAGAATATTTTTCAACATAATCTTTCAATCTTACACCCAAAGCGTTGGCCAGAGCTTTAGAATGCAAAAAAGAAAGAGAATTTTTTCTCCAAAAGTTTCCAAATTTTTTACTCTCAAATCATCTATTCCTGCTATTCATGCAAACAGATTATACTATTCTTTCCACCCATACTTTTCTTATTACTGTATGTTTAAACTTTCTTGCCTTTTACCAAATTATATAACCTAAATAATGAAGTACTTTTTCTCCCATTCTGTCCCCCATCCACCCGCTCCCAGGAAATGCGGCTGGTATTAGGGAGGGGGGAGGGGAGAAAGTCACTAACAGCATTTAAACAGATCACAGACATTAATCATAGACCATCATTCACACAGAC